CAAGGAGGGTCCTGCTGAGCTATGGTTGTGAAGGATATAGAATGAGGGATGAAAATGGTTGTGTGTTAATTTGCTGGCAGGATCGGCCAATGTTTTCAATATCCGCTTGGAGATCTAGGAAGTAAGAATTAAAGGGATATATTGATGGTCTTTTTTTTCTTTCTTTACTTTTTATAAGTGTGTTTTATCCTTATGGTGATGATTATTCTTCAAGATCGTTTTTTAGAGATACTCCTTATTCATTGCCTGGTAAAACCCTATCAAGAAAGAAAATTGGAAAGACAAAGAAAGGGTAGAAGGACAGAAGAAATAGAAGTTTTACTAGGGATTCTGTTTATGGTTTCATTTTTTACAGCTGATCATTTTATTTTTATTTTTATTTTTATGAACTCCTGTACCCTAACTTGTATCTAGTATATCATATATAATATGGTTTTGTTTATTTACTTGTTTAGAATAAGTTTGTTTTCAGAATTCTAGGACATGTGTCGGTTCTCTTTCAGCGAATGTTGCAAGTTGGCTTTTAGTGGATTTAGATGAGTCCTGAAAAAGCATTGCCATATAGGGGTGCTCAAGAAATTAGGTGGTTCATTCCTAATATATACCATACAATTTAATGAATTTATGCTTTTGCTGCTTTGGTCATAGTGACGACTGACGTATGTCATGTTTGAAAGATCGGTGAATTGTTGTCTGATATTTCGTGTAGTGGTGACAGATAAGCCAACTGGCTTAAATGCTTTTTGACTTTAGTATGATACATGCGATGCATCCGAACGCAGCCACATACACACCAAAATAAAAACATCACTTCCCCCATGTTATCTTTTTCTTCTGTTTTGCTTTTTTGGTTGGTGTGGTGCCTGTTGGAAAATTGGGGCGAGTAATCAATTCACAAATATTTAAATAATAGGGTGTGGTGAAGTTCTGTTGTTGACTAAATAAGTCACTTTTTGAAAGTGCTGAGGGAACACTTGTTTGTCAGAGAGGTAGTCAATTAATAATAAGGTAAAATCTCTCATCACATAAAAGACTTCTATGAGAAGCACCAAAAAAATAAGAATCCTCTTGAGCTCACCCTTCATCTTTATCAAAATACTATGTTTGCAACTGTTTTTGACTGTACAATCCAACATTTTCCATGGTTGAGATTCTATACTTCTTTGATAAAGCTATAGGCATCTCAATCCTGGAAGAGGAACTTTGCCTTTTCAATTGGTGATAATTCTTGCGTGAATTGGGCGTCAGAATTGATTCATCAGGATTAAGCTTGTCGGAATATCTATCTTTTCTTTTTGGGAATCAACCAACAAGGTTAATTGGCAAGACTTGACATAAGAACGTATTTTAGATGCATGTTTTTCTGTCATCGTTATTGTAATTGTGTTGAACCACTTTGCATGAGCTACATACATAACGAGCAATATGTTATATGTTTGTGACATGACAGACTAGTATTTTCCCAAATTCGTTGTAAAAGACTAAGGATGCTATGGGCCCTGGAGAGGTTGAGAGTAATGACATTGGAGAATAACATGGGCCCACTGTCGAACTCATCCACAAGAGTGACACACAAGCTTCTTTTCCCTTTCAAGTGCTTGGGTCAGAGACTATGCCAAGTTGAACCAATTATTCAATGGCCCAATTTATCAATAGACTGGTTTTTATTAAGTGAATTTGATTGATGTTTTATCAAATAGGCAGTGAAACTTATATGATTTATCAGGTTTAACACAAATTTTATCTAGGGTTAAATAGTAATTCATTGACCATGTAAAATAATTTTACATTGTCATCCAATCATAATTTATCATAAATAATGAATTTGATAGACTTTTATAATAACTAACTTAAAAATCACATAAATTGTAATTTTAATTGATTGACTGTATAATTTTTTTTCACTAACAATACATGACCATTACACTTTTTTATCAAATAAAAAAATTAAATTTAGAAGTGTTTCATTGATTTCTTTTTATTATGATGTAAACATTAAAGAAACAGTATTTATATTTTTTTTACAGTGAAAACGATAAGAGAGGAGTACGCAATAAGATAATTGATGTGATGTTGAGACTTGAGAGACAGGGAAAAAATAATATTACAAAAAATTGTTGTATGAATAATGTAATTCCTAACATTATTATTGAGGAAGAAAAAGTTGGAATGAATTTTTATTTCTACATTAAATTATGTCCTGTGTATCTAACCACCTCGCGCGGCTTCATTCCCTTCTAAAAAAGGAGATTTCGTTTTCAAGGAATGATGATGATAACAACAAAAGGCATACGCTGTAATCTACGTGCATGTATTTAATGTTCCACCTACCTTCTTTTTGTATTTTCTGTCTAAACTTTCCCCACAAGATGGGTGCAGGAACATCACTATTAGGCCTGTCTCTTTCTAAATATGAGTATTGAGAGAGTTTTAAAAATCTTAAGTATAATCTAGAGTAGATATATTTCATAAATCTAAATGGCAGTATTGATTATTTTTGTGGTTGAAGGAAAATGGTGCTGGTACAAAGACAGGGCAGGTATAATTCAAGATATATAGATGAATTAGAAAATCGCCATGCTTTCTAAACCAGACTTCAAGCTTGAAAAGGAAGTTATCATAACTTTGATGTTGTACGTACAATAATATACACTGCAACTTTCTGCATATTAATGATTTATTTATTACATGGATATATGTATTCCATATAAACATGGTTCTTCCTTCCATCTCTGAGCATATATACTATACTGTAGTTTGATATGAAGAGTTATTTACTTATTCATTTATTATTGCAGATGAAGGGTACTTTGTAGCCAGTAGTACATCGGAAGACACTTATTAAATTATAAGACAGTGAGAGAAAATGTTCACTTCATGGCTTTCGGCGGGATTACAACAGCTGAAACAATAACATCATAACTTTCATATCGATATTAGTTTTTCTTACTCTTTTATAATATAATAATTACTTAAAAGATATTTATCATAAAAAATTCATAATTTATTATGAAAAAAAAAGTTACTTATAAATGATATAAAATAATTTTATATTATCATTTTATCACAACACGATCCTAATAATTATTTTAAAAATTATATTAATAACGATTTTTGATTGATTTATAATATAAAAACTTGTACAACATTAAACTTTTTTTATTAGTATTGGTTGATGAAGTAAAAATATACAGAAATAAAATTCTTTGATTATTATAAAGATAAATTAAAATATGTTGAGCATAAACTCTTTAAATGAGGTTAGATGAGTTAGGTAGAAGATGTTACCTCCACAATGCATTCCAGCGGGAAGGTTCAAGCCACAAGAGCGTGCAACAAAGACAGCTTTGGGAATACTCACAAGGCTTGCAATTTCTTTAGTGATGAGTTTGCATGCGCATGGAACATTGAATTTTTTCAGCACTGCACAGCACCCTGGTGAAGGCTTAATAAATGGTCCTGACTTTTGTACAAACTGTGAGCACTGAGATACAAGATCACTCACACTTCCTCCACACTGAGCTGAGACCTCTTTTGTGTTATATATTAAAGATCCAGCAACTACCAGAATTGCCAAGCTCAAATAACTGTTAGAACTTGCCATGTTCCTACCGCTTAGAAATCCCACAACTTTGTCACAACAATAATGCTTAGAAACTGGTCTGTATACTGTATATAATAGAAGTGAGAATAGGAACAAATGCAACTTCGATTTTTTCATATTTTATCTTTTAAGGTCTTGTTGTCTCTTGTGCAATAAACAAATGCCAACTTCGTGAGGAACTACGCCCACACCATAAAATTGAACGCATAAGTGGAATTCACCGAATTGCTACTGTATCTATGCATCCTTTATTTTTTTTAATACATGGATATAATTTATGTAGTGTCTCAAAACTCATAATTAACTAATTTGTATTCACAAAATACGATTTTTATTAGATAAATATTATTTTAATATTGAAAAAAATAAAACTTAAAAGGAAGGAAAGAAATTCATCAAATTTGTCATTTTCCTTGAACATATATATATACTACGTACAGCTGGACAATCCATAACATTCCTTTCAGCTAGAACATGGAACAACTCAAATAGATTTTATCTCTTGTATGAGAAAGAAAATGATATCATTTCGTTAATACTAAGACAAACAAACACATTTTGTTTCTAATTTGCTTTAAATTAAATTGCGAGAGAAACATTTGTTTGAAGTGAATGACAAATAATGCAGCTGTTTATGCTTTAGGCGGCTGATAGAAAACAAAAGGATATATATGCATGATTTTATTTTTCCTGACAAATAATGGCTGAGGTATATTTTATTTCAATTTTTCACTGGTCATAATACTATACTAGTCAATCTTTTTGACTGTGCTATCCTTATAAGTTTTACATTTTTATATTTTTACTAACTTCGATTTTTTGGACCTGGTCACATGGCCTGCTATGATGGCTCAGGATTGATCTGTCTGAAGGTCATTTCGAGGAGAAGACTTATTATTAGGTAAACTTACATATTACTAAACTCTTTATTTTAACAGCTGGTTACCTGTTTGTGTAAGTGTAAGTTTGGTTATACCCTTTTTCTAGATAAACTTACATATTTGTGTATCCACACTTGTTTTCTACTCTTAGGTCGCCAATTTTTTATTTTTTTTTTATGTGACATTAAATTCTTTTATTGGAAATTGTTGAATGACTTTCTGTTCAACTTCTAGGCTGCTAGTCCCACAGTTATCCCCATGTATTAGACAATATATACATTCCCTGCATTTTAGATTGTCCCTGTCTACTTGATAGTAAAATTAGATGTTGGAAGATTTCTTGTCGAAACATGTATAAATTTAAGTATTGGAGCATAATTCTAATGTTGCCGCTATATAGAATTAGAAAATAGAAACTAGAGAGTTTTGTAGGTTTTTCTTATGATGATATATTCGTGTTTCTGTTGACAGGTGTGATGCATATAAACCAGTATAAAATAGGACTATAAAAGGATTAGAATGGTCAAAGATTGTCTGATGAATTGGCTATCTTTTAATTTTGGGTTTGGCCCAACATATGAGTAAACCGAACACTAACTTTTATGGAGATTTTGTGGAGTGATTTTCGGCAACAATAGAGATTTGGTATACTGTGATCGTGGTTTTAGCAATGGAGGGGCCACCCATTGTAAATCTTCATTAGTTTAGGTTGAACCACGATAATTTGATTCATCGAGTTATTAGATGATTTTTTTAGCTGTCGACTTCTTGTGTACTTCCTTTTTATTTTCTTTCAATGAATTTTTATTTATCATTATACATGCATGTGGCTATTCTAGTTTTATGCATAAATCTTTTGTATGTTAATTAGGTAATTCGTTGTGTCTCACCTAATCAAATGGACGTGAGATTAGGATAGTAAAAAACTCATTATTGAGAGAAAAATAAAAGCAAATAAAGATTAAAACACCATCTTATTTAAAAGAGTTTTTCATGTTAAGGTTTAGTTTATAGCTAACAACCCTTTTATAGAGAGCCTGTAAAACATGTGACAAAATTATAAACTGATAATAGAAATTAATATAAAATGAAATAGTCGATATAAAATTTAAACCTGAATAAAATCCTAAAATACGTTGGGATGTGTTTTGAATATAAAATAAAACCATTGGTGTTTATTTGCCTAAGAAATTAAGCTTTATTTGTAGATAGTACAGTATCATAGCCTCTTTGACTAATTGGATTAGATTTCGATCTTTGCTGTCATCGGGCCTCATTTATCATAATAAAAGGTTGAATTTTAGCAAAAGTTAGGTAGGCCTATGCAATAACCACACTTCAAGCCCAACAGATATTATCAATTTATTAGTTAGAATTTTATCATATATTTTTAATTTTTTGTCATAACTTCTGTAAATTGTCAAGGAACTGCTCTATTAAGAGCTTAGATTGAGCTTACATTATTTTTAAAGCCTATTATATTTTTTTACACAAATATTTTTTTCCGCAATTTTTTCACTTTTAGTTCCTGTAATTCTTTTTGGTTTGTGATATATTCAAACATCAAACGTGTTATTTTTGTTTTTCCAATACAAAAAAATGCTTTCAAATAATGCCACATAAATAAGAGCATCTCTAGTGGGGGTTGCTTATAAGCAACCTCCTGTGCCACATCATGCCACATCAGCTCTTTTTCACTTTATGGGTTGCTTAAATTTTAGTACTGAAGCTTCTACAAGCAACTTTGTTAAAATTTAAGTAACTCATAAAGTGGAAAAGAGTTGATGTATCATGATGTGGCACAGGAAGTTACTTATAAACAACCACAATTACAGATGCTCTAAGTATTTATAATGAAAAAACAAAATTAATTTGATATATTTACATGGAAAAAAAAGTATTAAAATAGAAAACTTAATTTTTTTTCTCCCTTAATTATGTAGTCCCACTTCAAATCACTATCATCGGTATATCTTCTTGGATATTATTATAATTCTTATATACAATAGATACACACAAAATAAGGATAATGATTAAAAAAAATTAACCATTTTATATTTATGTGTAAATCACTACACATAGATACTAACACTACCTCACTAATGATACTAACTCACTTGCTGCTATCACTTGTCATGTTACAACTTCCATCACTATTGCGATAGTGTATGAAACTTTGAAAACTTATTTTCGGAATTAATTCATCAAACTATTTTTGATATTTTTATTTTATAAAATAATTTCTAATGATAATAATAGAATCAAACAAGTTGGATGAAGCCCGTGATTGATATTATATCATGTAAGCATTAATTCGTAGTAACAAGTTGTAAAATATGTGTGATACATAAATTGGTACATGTATTAGGAAATTAAAATGCAGGAATAGGACTAAAGAAGGTTGTTCCTTCCATCTCTGAGCATATTACAATTTGATATGGATAGTTATTCACTTATTATTTTATTTTTGCAGATGATGGAGGGTGCATGCTTTATGCTTCGTATCAGAAGTCACTTATTCAGTTATGAGGCTGCCGGAAGAAAATGCTCACTTCATGGCTTTCGGGGGCACTTTAATAACTGAAACAATAACATCACAAGTTTGAAGTTTCATATCATCACTTTCTTTCTTTTTCTTTTTTAATTTCTCATTGACTACTATAAAATAAAATACACGCTTATGCATTTATAAAAATGTGAGAAAAAAGAGGAAAAGACATAAATGAAAGTGGCAGTATGAAAAAAAATAACATAAAAAGAGAAAACTCAAAAGTGAAGCGAGGTTGATAAGATAAATATAAAGAAAATGAGTGCACAATTATCGGAACGGCTCTCAAATTTTTTATTCATGGTGTTAATTTGTGAGGTGAAAAAAAAAATATTTTCATAAATATTTAAATAATATTTATGATCTCAGTTTTCGAATCTAAAAATATAAGTATATACATTAAAAAGAAGCTAATGAAAATTCATCTTTGATTTTTAAATTTTATCTGAGTAAAATATGTTTTGATTTAAAAAAAATAGAAAGAAAATAAAAAAAAAATCTAAATATAAAAGAAAAAAAATTAAAGATAATTTTTAATTATAATTTTACATTAACATTTGTGAAAGTTCATATAATAAAAAATCAATTATATGTTACACTTTTTTTTACATCTAATATTACTAATTTTTTTGTTAAAATTATTGTTAGATTTTTATTAACTAATGATAAAAATTGATTATTGATTATTTGTTTCTAATTATTTTATTTTCCAATATTTTTAATAATTTAACTATATAGTTCATTTATGTTATATATATTAAATAATATTTTTTTATTATTCCTTTTTGACAATGAAATCACAAGCGATTATTCCATCAGCTATGTTGAATAGTCAACGAAGATATTATAATAAAATCAAAAAATTATTCAAAAATATTTATTATATAAAAAATAAAATTCATTTAATATACTTATTTTTTCAATATCGATAAGATAAGCACAAAGGTGTAATTATAATTTTATACCTGTTCAACATAATAAGAATTCTAATCACATTATACCAGCAATAAAAATTTAAACTTAAAATTTTATGGAGATTATCCAACTTTATCATTAGATGAATCCTAATAATTTAACAAATGTTTTTATAAAAGAAAGGTTAAAATTGATATGTTGGTGAATGAGCATAAACTGTTGAAAATAAAATGTTATATATACCTCCACATTGCATTCCAGGAGGGAGGTTCAATCCACAAGAGCGTGCAACAAATATAACCTTGGGAATACTGACAAGGTTTGTAACTTCTCTAGTAATAAGTTTGCATGCGCATGGAACATCAAACCTTTTCAGCACTGCACAGCACCCCGGTGAAGGGCGAACAACTGGTCCTGACTTTTGCACAAACTCTGCACACTCTGATATAAGATCTGCCAAACTTCCTCCACATTGACCTGAAACCTCTTTTGTATTATATACTAAACATCCAACAACAACCAACATTGCCAACCTCAAATAACTGCTACCACTTGCCATGTTCTTCCTTACAAATATCCCACAACTATGTCACAACAATGTTACAATGCAATGAGTAGGTGAGCCTTTATGTAGGCGTGAAAATTGGAACAAATGCAACTTTGTTTTTTTTCATATTTTATTTTTTAAGTTATTGTTGTCACTTTTGAAATAAACAAACCCCATGAAGAACCACGCCCATACCATCAAATTGAACGTATATGTTGAATTCACGAAATTGCCATATCTATATATATGTTCTATACGAAGGAAAAAAATCATCAAATATCTCTTGTATGGAAAAGAAAATGATATCATTTCGTTAATACTAAGATAAATAAAATCATTTTGTTAATAAGTTGCTTTATATGATCCTTTGTTTTAGGTGAATGGCAAATAATGCGGCCGTTTATGCTTTAGGCGGCTTAAAGAAAACAAAAGGATAAGGAACAAGTTATGCCATTTTATTTCATTAAAGTGATTAATTAATCACAAAGAAAGACCAACCTTTTTTTAAAAAAATAACATAATGAATTTTACATTAAGATAACTTTGTGAATGTAATAAAGAATTACATCAAATATATTATTGTTGTGAAAAGAGATAGAATTTCTGATTCATAAATGTGACAACAAAATAATTTGCTTCTATAATTACATCGTGAAAGTTATGATTAGTGAATCAAGATATTGATAGTAAGATGCGCTAGAGAGAGAACAACTTAGGAATAAACATTTTAATTTCCTCGACAAATAAAAAAAAAAGTAATTTAGTTTTATCTCGTTTAAGTAATTTTCAAGAAAAGAATTTTAAAATAAAAATTGTAAAACGTACCTGAAACAAAAATATGATAAAAAAAATGTCCTTATTCGATTTATCTTGTAGGCCCAATGCTTCAATGACTTGCTGTCAAATATGTGAGCACAATACTTCAATCCCTCGCCGTCAAATTTGTGAGACCAATGCTTAAAATAAAATATATTTATTAGTTTATTTAAAATAAAATTTATCTATCTATTTAACATTATTAATATAAAATATATTTTTATAAAAGTTAATAGACTAATCAAACTTTTAAAAATGTCATACTAGATTTATTAAAAAAAATATAATAAATAAGTTATATTTAAATTTTAATTTTGTAGAACATGTTCAGTTTGTGTACCTGTCTGTCTGAAGGGCACACTAAGTCTTCTTGTAATTCGAAGGCCGAACGAGACTCCCGATCCAATAATCCGATACGCCGAAGAGGGGGTTGGTACCTGCAAAAGGCACTCCAACGCTCAAGTCAGGACAAGCTCGAATCTCTAGGATAATTAATGAACAGTGACGTTACCTTTTGACCTGAGCTATTTATACTGACATTTATGGGCCTTGAGCCTTATGAGCCCTATAGCGTATTTATCGTATTAGGGTTTAGGGTTTAGGGTTTAATCAAGTAATTATCCCCTAAGCCTAGATTAAGTGTTAAGTGATGATGGGCTGATTCAGGTGGCCGATTGGCGTTCGGCTACCTGATTCTTCCATTTGGTGGCCGATGTAGGAATGACCAAACGTCCCTACCTGTACACTGCCCCCCAGCCTTAGGGGAAGGTGAGGCTTCCCTTAAGGGTAACAAAGAGACGATTGTTAGGGGAATGTGAACGGGTGCACCATTGTAACCGTTGGATCTGGAGGATCGAACGGTTATATGCACCACTGTAACCATTGGATCTGGAGGATCGAACGGTTACATGTAATTTGAAACTTCGAATTTTCCCGCTTCTTTTTGAGTTTATAAATAGGTGGTGTGGTAGGGCCATTCACACGCATTGCTCTCATCCGAATTGTGATAGCTAAAGATCTCATAAGCCGATCCAACGAACGATTGTGGTCTTTCGGAAAACTGGTAAGTTTTTTGTTGTCATGGTTACTATTTCTGTAACTTCTTCGGCCAACAGCTCTCGGTCGTCGTCATCCGGGGGGTCCTCGTCCAGTGATTTGAGTCATCCCACAGCATCTTCGTCTCCTGTGAGTGCCGAAAGGCCAGATCAGGGTGATTCTGCTTCGGGAGAGGCGTCTACCAGTGAGAATGAAGAGGTTGAGAAAAAACCAAAGCGGGCATCGAATCGTCAACGATATGGTCCATCCGAACTACCTGGATACGAATGGGTAAACGGGGAAGTAACTTCCTACTACTCTCGGTACCGAGATACAGACATGATCACGAGACTATTGGATTACACTAACTGTCTGAACTTCGATGCCACCGAGAATCCCTACCCAATTGGCTGTAACCATTGGATCTGGAGGATCGAACGGTTACATGTAATTTGAAACTTCGAATTTTCCCGCTTCTTTTTGAGTTTATAAATAGGTGGTGTGGTAGGGCCATTCACACGCATTGCTCTCATCCGAATTGTGATAGCTAAAGATCTCCTAAGCCGATCCAACGAACGATTGTGGTCTTTCGGAAAACTGGTAAGTTTTTTGTTGTCATGGTTACTATTTCTGTAACTTCTTCGGCCAACAGCTCTCGGTCGTCGTCATCCGGGGGGTCCTCGTCCAGTGATTTGAGTCATCCCACAGCATCTTCGTCTCCTGTGAGTGCCGAAAGGCCAGATCAGGGTGATTCTGCTTCGGGAGAGGCGTCTACCAGTGAGAATGAAGAGGTTGAGAAAAAACCAAAGCGGGCATCGAATCGTCAACGATATGGTCCATCCGAACTACCTGGATACGAATGGGTAAACGGGGAAGTAACTTCCTACTACTCTCGGTACCGAGATACAGACATGATCACGAGACTATTGGATTACACTAACTGTCTGAACTTCGATGCCACCGAGAATCCCTACCCAATTGGGGTTCGGTCATGCCGAAACAATGCGTCTCCAAATCCCGACATGGTCTGCCTTGATCAAAGTGGTGCTAGAATGGAGTCATTTTATATATATGACTGCCTTCTTCGGGATCTTAAAGTGAAACTGCCGTTTGATGAGTTTACCATGGGAGTACTAAAGATTTTAAACGTTGCACCCACACAATTGCACCCGAACAGTTGGGCACAGTTACAAGGTTTCAAACACTTGTGTAAGTGTCTTGATATTAAGCTTTCTCCCCTCCTTTTCCTGTATTTCTATTCGTCTCGGCCTACCATATTAGCGAAGTGGCACTCCTTAAGCCGAGTGAGTGACCGACTATTATTGGATAGCTTCACTTCTTCGTATAAAAATTTCAAGGCAGGATTTTTCCGAGTGACTATCCGGCCGAATGGGAGGCGGTTCTTCTTTGATAAGGACGAAAGGCCTTTATTTCCATTGTACTGGACGCGCACCCCTCGGCCTTATGACGTCGTACCGAAGAAAATGCTGACAGCCGAAGAGCGAACAGACCTCAAGTTACTGCTTCGTCTTCCTCGGCGTTTGCCGATCAGGTCTTTAATCAACGTGGTTGAATCCCCTCGTTGGTGGAATGACTTGATAGGTATGTTATCCATCCTAATTCAACTGTAAACTTAATTCCTATTGATGTTTTACATAATCCTTTTTGCAGGAATCATGGTTACCAGTGGTGCTGACGAGCTAAATATTCGTAATCTGCTTGCTGCCCGGGTGAAGCAAGTTCGGCAATCCGGAGGGGTGGGAACTTCTACCGTTGCACACTCCCCTCGACCATCCAATGATGACCGACTACCTCCTCATCCGGAACGCAAGAAGAAGAAAGAAAAGAAAGGGAAAGATTCCAGTCGGGAGCATTCAAAGAGAAAGAACTCCGAGGAACATCAAGACCAAGCTAAAAAGGCCAAATCAACGGCTATAGCTTCGCCAAACCGAATCGTGATTGTGGTGCCGCCACCGCTGATGTCTTGGGCCTTTCTGAGTGATGATGCTCCGGCCGAGACAGTGATTCGGCCTGACATGGTGTCTCCATTCGGGCATGAATTTTTGGCTACTTTGGACACGAAGGCCAAATGGAGGCTTTTTTGCGAGGTACAAACTCGTTCATTAGCCTTAGCCCACCATCTAGCCATGGAGCCTGTCGGCGAGGTGGTACACTTGAAGCAAAGTGTGGAGGAAGCCGAGAAGATTGCAGCCGAGGCAATGGCAGCTAATGAACAAATATTAGCTAAAAATCGGGAGCTAGCAGCTGAGCTGGATGTTGCTCGACGAGACAATGATACTCTTCGTCTAGACCTCCAAAAAGCAGCTAACGAGGAGCGTCGCCGAGTGGAGGAAGCTCAAGCTGCGTATGACAATCTTAAAGAGCAAGCAAAAGAAAAAATTGTTGCTCAACATGAAGCTGGTTTCAAACACGCCGTTCGGCAGGCCAAGCACTTCGGCCAATTTCCTGAGGATTTTGAGTTCGACATGACTCAAGATTTTTACCAAGGATCTCTTGTGTCATTTGCTGATATGCCCGAAGGGGCGAATCCTGACGACGAGGAGCCGAATGATGCCCCCAAGCCACGGATGTTCATACTTCATCTGGTGATGAAGATGAAGAAATTACCAATCCTCACCCCGAGGGGAAAACGGAGGCCCCTGCCCAGAATGATCCAGAAAGCAACGCTGATGAGTAATGTTAGGATTCTAATTCTTGTAGTAAGGGGGCCGATAGAGCCTCCACTCTTTGAATGAAGTAATATTTTCACTTTTAAAACTTGTCATCTTGAATTGTTACTGATCTGTATGGATATTAAATTTTCTGAGCCGATAAATATTTTATGTTACCGACTGATTGAACCGAAGCAATTGTAAAACTTAACTTGAGCAAAATTAAGAGAACACTTGTGAATTTATTTGCTTATCGTTATTCGGAATTGCCTATCCGAATGAACAATACCGAACGGGTTCATTCAGAATTGCTTGCTTTTTGAGCAATGCCGAACGGGTTCATTCGGAATTGCTTGCTTTTTGAGCAATGCCGAACGGGTTCATTCGGAATTGCTTACTTTTTTAGCAATGCCGAACGGGTTCAATCGGAATTGCTTGCTTTTTGAACGGGTTCATTCGGAATTACTTGCTTTTTGAGCAATGCCGAACGGGTTCATTCGGAATTGCTTGCTT